TGGTCTTGAAGGAGAAATATTGGCAAATTTGGCGGATAGTATGCCTCGTCATATACGAGCTGTCATAAAAGCCAAAGGAAATCCTACATCATGCTAATTAATTTATTGAATAAAGCAAATGTTAACGAATTGAATGATATAAAATCAATGAAGTATCCTTAGTATTAGTTGGTTATTGCATAAATCAATCTCAAAGTGATTTCTTTCTTTCATCCTGTGGCAATACTTTGTCAACACAGTATTATGAATAATGAAAAGCAGTCTCTATATAATATAAAGCAGTATGCTACTGTTATCAATAATCAAGGAAATCATTCAGCTCCAGGAAAATGATAATGCAGCAGCTCACACAAAGTAATCTGTTCTCATGTGTGACCAATTATTTCAATCTGTTGTCTGTCTAATTGTTGTTATTTTTATTTCATTCAGTCCCCTCTGGTGGGGTGTCCTTGACCTCTGAGTTGAGAAAAAGTCACCATGTGTGGACATCCAGCTCTTGCATAAAGTCATTCTGCCAAACATAGAATCAAGCTGGCTTTCAATGCAAAAGACATCAAGGGACCTTTTTGATAGGATTTCAGAGTTTAACATTGCAGAAGCCAAAAAACTTCATCAGCAGCTCAATACCCTCTCTCAACAGTATGATGAACTTAAGCTTTTCAAACTGTCTTCTGAACATACAGCACTCTGGAAAATGGTGAAGGTGGTAGATGCCATAGCCAATGATAGTGATACATAATACAAGCTATATATATATTGGAGAATGCATGTCTGCCATGTGAGTTATTAGCTTACTATTGCATTATGTACTGTACTTTTTTCTCACATCAATGTATACAGGGTGAGGTGGATTCGAGGCTACAGTGGTAGTTCACAATCAGAACAAACTGTGGATATGTATATGTACATCATTGGCCCATTCTCCAAAACTCCACAAGTCAAATATCTGTAGTAAGTTTTTTTGCCATCTCCTGACTCTGTTAGTAATATTATAGTTATTAGTTATATGTGCCTTTATATACACTATATGATATAGTGGTGAAAACTGATCAGAGGCTGATCAGATACAGAGTGAAAAAGCAGGATGATCTGAATCATCCAGAGTGGGAAAAGCCTGTGATTACATACCGTAAAATCTGGATAATAAGTATATACTTATTTTCGAAATTAGTAAAGCCTGGGGGTACTTATTTTAGGGGGATACCTATTTTCAAAGGGTACTTATTTTTGAGGTAATTTTTACAGTAGACCAGAAGCTTTATTATATATAATAAAAAAAAAGTTTACTCGTTGCTAGACAACTCATTAACCTCAGTAGTATAAACTTGATATCCTTCAAGACCAGAAATATTAATACATTCATCTTCGGAACCATCAATAGGCAATGAAATGCCACATTTTCTAAAAGCACGAATAATAATACTACTATGCGTTTCTTATTAGTAGACAACGGGTGAGAGAAGTGAGAGAAGGGGCACGACGAAAATTTTTGAGGAGGGGATATATGGGGGGGTACGTATTTTAAGGGGGGTACGTATTTTCAGGTGACGCGCGTCGGCAGGTCAAGGGTATGTAATTTCGAGGGGTACGTGCATTCAGGGGGTACGTATTATCGAGATTCTACGGTATTTCTTGTAGGTGGTTTGTTGTTGGGTTATAGTTATAGTTATTGTTTTTCACACATTTTAATTTGGGTATACTGTTACCATATTTTCAGTCTCATGACTGAGAGTCAGGTATCACAGTGTAAATATAAAGATCATGTGGACAAAGCAACCACAGACTTTGTTGATGTCATCAAAGTTGCAAGATCTCAACACATTGCAATAAGGACGGCATGCATTGAAGCCAGTTTAAGTTGTGTCAATCCTCTTCCAGTGATGGTGCAGAATGCATTGTATGAGGTCTCAATACCTTTCTTTCAGGTTATTGGCTCTTGCATCAGGTTCTATCTTCTTCTTGAGGTGGACAGAGACATATTTGCTTTTTTCGAATGGGCTTCAGAAAAGCTGCCTATTATATATGAGGGTGACAATGGGTCAAATTACTAAAGGAGAGAGAACTAAAAAGCCTAAAGATGTTTAAATATTAAAGACATGATTGTTGACCTGGGCAATTTTGTTGACTGGAAAACTGACAAGCTTCGTCAATTTGAGCTAGTGGGAATAACATAATTATGTTATTCCCACTTAGTCTAGGTTATTCCCACTCAGTGACGACGGTGTCGGATTTCTGTCGTCATTTGAGTGATGATGGTATCATATATGCGTCGTCATTCGAGTGACGATGGTATCATATGTGTGTCGTCAGTCGAGTGACGATTAGTTCACGAGTGCTTGGACCCACGGATATGACGACACATGACGACGGTGTCGGATTTCTGTCGTCGTGACACAGACGACGGTGTCAGATTTCTGTCGTTGGCTCACATAGGCAAAAAATATATCTGACGATGCATCCATCGCCGATTGAGAACTGCTGAGACGTGCAAAGTATGACGTGCGTTTTGTATTTTATGACACGCTCGAGTGATGTGCGATTTCTATTTTTCACGTCGCTCGAATGACG